GAAGAATGTGTAGGATTTTGTGACCAGTTAGATATTCTGATGAAAGGAAGACCAATCAAAGCTCCGAGGTTTTGGAACTGGATGACGGGGAGAATTATGATGATGTTGTCAGAAATAGAGAAGTCAGGAGGTAAACCAGTTGGGGGGGCGGGGAACAGGGACAGAGTTTAGTTTTAGACACTATTGGCTCTAGTTAAGTATTTCCTGTTAGATTTTTAAGTTTAGAATTCTAGGTTAGATGGCAAAAGAGAAAATCTTTCATTTGGTTTTCACATTTTTCATAGTAAAAAGAGATTACATTTGGGAGAAAGTATCTGAAACCCCCACAAGTCATTGGCTTATTAAGGAAGCTAGTCTCAACTAGCTTGCTTAAAGTTCTATCCACTTTTATAAATAGATAGAATAGTGGTTCCTATCTCTGTGAATTGGCGTTAAGTACTACCTGGGTAAGCAGCATTGTACTTTTCAGTTTGAATTTGGTTTGTGAGTCCCTGGGGTCCTCCCTGAAGGATTCTTTTTTTTCCATGACTGCTACTCTAGGTACCTTTATTACCTGATGCCTAGCCTGCTGTGATAGCCTTCAAGCCAGTCTTCTGTAACTTCTACTGTTTTCCCTTTTCTCTGTAGGGTAAAATCAAACTCTTTTGCAGTCAAGGCCCTCCATTATGTTGCTTCTGCTCTACCTGTCCAAGGATTATCTCTCATTTCCCCAGTATGCCCTCTACACTCTAGCTAGACTTATCTTCTCACTATCTTTCACCATACTATGCTTAATCTTAGGTCAAATTCAGTTCTACAAATATTTAGTAAAGAATACAAGACTAGGAGTCAAGTTAGCTGAGTTTGAGTCCTATCTCTGTTGTATGTTGGTACTAGCTACTTATTTTTTTTCTAAACCCTCAGTTTCTTTATCTTTTAAATGGGGACAGTATTTGTACTAACTTACCTTATGGGGCTAATGTGAGGATACAGTGGGATAAAGTTTTTTAAAATGTTTTGTAAACTAAATCGATATATAAATGTAAAATAGTCTTATATTATCTTATCATTTATCCCTCAAGGCCCAGCTCAAGTATTACTTTCTCCAAGAGGCATTCCTAATTCTCTTCAGTCTCCATTGCTCTGTCTTCTTTGCATACCTATAGGCCTTATTGTTTGTGTCATTCATTTTGGCACTTAGTCATATATTGCCTTATATTATTATTTAATTAGTTCATATGTTAATGTCTGATGTCTTAGAGACAGCTGGTGGCACAGTGGATAGTGCTGGGTTTCAAATCAGGAAGACTTGAATTCAAATTGGGCCTCAAACACTTATTAGCTGTGTAATCTTGGGCAAGTCACTTAATTAACCTTTGCCTCAGTTTCCTTAACTATAAAACCAGGATAATAATAGCACCTACTTTGAAGGGTCGTTGTGAAGATCAAATGAGATAATATTTGTTTAAAAAAAAAAAGGTATTCAGCAAAGTACCTGGCACATAGTAGACTATTTTAAATGCTTATTTCCTTTCCCTTCCCTTCCCCCTTTCCTTATTTCTCCAACTAGATTATAAACTACTTAAGAACAGGAACTATGGGGGCAGCTAGGTGGTGCAGTGGATACAGCTCTGGCCCTGGAGTCAAGAGGACCTGAGTTCAAATTTGGCCTCAGACACTTGACACTTACTAGCTGTGTGACACTAGGCGAGTCACTTAACCCCATTGCCTCACCAAAAAGCAAAAAAAAAAAAAAAGAATATGGTAAAAATGAAAACTGTTAGCTATTTAGGGGCAGCTAGGTGGTGAAGTGGATAGAGCACGGCCCTTGAGTCAGGAGGACCTGAGTTGCAATGTGACCTGAGACACATAACACTCACTAGCTGTGTGACTCTGGGCACGTCACTTAACCCCAATTGTCTCACCAAAAACAAAACAAAACAAAAAACAACAAAAACAAAAAGAAAAAAACAGGAACTCTGTCTTCTTTATCATGTATTGAGCATGTAGCACAGTGCTTCCTAGTAAGCACCAAATGAATTAATGAAATAAAGAGTCAATTTAGGACTGGAGGCTCAGAATTGGCTCAGGAGTTCCAGAACAAGGTCCCAGGACTTCTCTTTAGGAGCAGGCCAGAGTCCCAGATGCCAAAAAGCAAGCCTCAGTTGAGATATGTCTGCTTCTAGATTATAAATACTTTGAAACAGGGAGAGAATCTGTCCCCTTTTTCATCTTTTTATCCTCAATACTGTTTACACAGTAAGCACTTAACTGGTTTGTTGAATTGAATTATAATCTCACCTCTCCCACCCACTTTCACTTTTCATTACCATTAGTTTATCCCTGTTGGTGCTCCCAGTATGTTTCTGGTATATTTGCAACTGTCTTTACCTGTTTCCTCCCCAAAGCATTAAGATCACAAATCCAATCCTTGATTCATTCCAGTATGTCAACTAGTATTCCGTCTGAATAAAGGATCATAGAATATTCGAGTTAGAAGGTACTCTTAGAAGTCATCTGATCTACTCTTGTCCTATTCCTGGTTGGTTTGTGTGAAAGCATAGTGTTGGTGGCTTCAACCTTAGCATAAGGGTTGTAACCAAATACCATAAACATTTCTGTATAACCTTTTATGAGTAAATGACATTATCTACATTTTTCTTGAACTTATGTTCAATAGGATAATGAATTCCATATGTTATCATTGTGTAAAATAGAATGATTTTTATGTATGCTAGAACTATCCCTTTAGGTTTCAAAGAGGGCTTCTTATTCTGGCAAGTAGATCTGTATTCACTCTATACATACTTTTAATAATTTTATTAATTTTAGTCATATTTCCTTCTAGCCTTTATCTCTCTTGGTTGAAGTTGTTTAATTTTCTTAGTCTATTCTCATGTGGAAATTCCTCCATCTTTTTTTTTTTTTTTTTTTTTAGTCAATTGGGGTTAAGTGACTTGCCCAAGGTCACACAGCTAGTAAGTGTCAAGTGTTTGGTCTGAGGCCACATTTGAATTCAGGTCCTCCTGACTTCAGGGCCAGCGTTCCATCCACTGCGCCACCTAGCTGCCCCGCCTCCATCTTCTTGATAATTTCATTTGACCCTCTTGGGGAGGGCATATACATAATTTTGTCCAGAGAGAAACCCTTAGCAAATGTTTTCTGTTAATGCTTTTAAGTAATTCTATTTCTTTTACTCCAGGGATTTTTACAGTTAAGGTATTATAATTCTTCTGTGAACCTCTTCATTCTCCATTAGTTGCCAGAGATTTATGCCATCTATGGATTCTGTTGTGTGGGGCTGTGCTACGAAGTGGTCCCAAGGATTTCCAATAGCTCCCTTGACTGCCATGGTCCAAGATGGAGTTTATTAATGTATTCAGACACTGTCTTTCGTATTTATTTGGCCTTGTGCTTAGCAGTGTGGGGAATACAGAGGTGTATGTGATCTAGTCCTGGTGCTGGAGGAGCTTGCAGATTAGGTGGAAAGGTAAGGTGTGCGCAGCAGATAACCATAAAGCAAGGCAATAAGTGGTACAAAATGGCATAGGAATTCAGAGAAGGAACCAATTACTTGTGGCTGTGGGACCATGGACTAGTTCATGGAGGTTGCATTTGAGCCGGAAATTGGAAAAGGGGTGGAATTTTGATAGGTGAAGCTGGGGGCGGATGAAAAGTATTCCAGTCGGAAAGGAATGTCACGAGTAAGGGTACAAAGCACATCCAGAAAATTAGTCTAAGTTAGTTGTAGTAGATGGGCATAGTGTAGAAACAGAGGTGGAGCCAAGGACCTAGGGGATTAATTACAGGATTAGAATGGGAAAGGCAGAAACTTTAGTGATAATCTAACTCACATTTTAAAGATAATGGAATCCAGACTTAGAGGAGCTAAGAGCTGGGATTCAAAACCAGGTCCTTTTCCTCCAAATTCAGTGCTTATATCTTACTGATCTTCCTATTTGGTAAATGTGCCATAACATGCATAAAAATAACATTATAGATAAAATATGCAAAATAAGCCCCTTGGGGAATTCCTTTGCTTGTACTTTTTTTTTTAATTAATTTTTTTTTTGGTTGTACCTTTTTGTCTTTTTAGTGCTTAGCTCAGTTGCTTGCATATGGTAGGCATTCAGTAAATGTTAATTAATTAACCTACTTATATTTCCATTGTAGATGAATTCTTTTAAATAAGATATTATGCCTTGATTTAAACTGACAGTATCTTTTAATAAATCAAAATGTATTTGGATTTCCACAAGCGTGCTTGACTTTAACAAGTCTTGAATTTCCCACTAGGTACCTAGGTTTAGACAGGAATTTCATGTATTAATCTGGAATGAATAAGGTGATCTAAGTTTTAATCTCTGTCACCTAATTACCATGTGACCTTGAACAAGTTAGTTCCTTTATTCGGGGCTTGTGTTTCCTCTTTAGTAAAATGAGGGTGTGGACTAGAAGATATTTAAGGTAACTTGTAGTCTTGAAATTCTGTTCTGCCTTAGTAATAAAATTGGCAAAGAGCATTTGGAGTATAAATAGGGGCAGAACCAGAATTCATTAATTTACCTTGTTTTGTACTGATATTTGCCTAGTTGAAGCCATCTCATTCTCTTTACCATAACTCGGTGGCACAGTGGATAGAGTGCTAGACCTAGAGTCAGGAAGACCTGAGTTCAAACCCAGCCTCAAATACTTACTAGCTGTGTGACCCTGGGTGAGTCACTTAACCTCTGTTTGTTTCATCTGTTAAATGGGAATAATAATAGCGTCTATTTCTAGGATTGTTGTAAAGATCAAATGAGATAATATTTGTAGGGCACTTAACACAGTGCCTGGCACATAGTAGGTACTATATAAGGGCTAGCTGTTATTATTATGTGTTTACTGAAATTGTTAAAAAAATTATTCTTTGAACTGTGTGTCTTATCCCAGGTCTGTCTGAGTAAGAGGTGCCCCTCTGCCATCTTTGCCAGGGGCATCTGTCCAGAGAGTGGACATTCATGTTGTTGTTTCAATTGCAGATCACAGAGGCTTTTCTGAAAGAAAGAGACAAACAAGCCAAATGGAATGGGATCCCTCTGTTACTTCAAAAACTATACGTGAACAGCCAACCCAACAGCGATTTTTCTAAGTGCCAAAGCATCCTCAAGGTAATGTCAGCAGTCTCTTGGAAAAGGTTTCATTTTGAATACATGATTTTAATCCTATTTTATACTTGTATTATTTGTTAACAGTTGCTGTGTTTGAGGAGTATATGATTGTTCTTAATACTCTAAAATCTTGTGCCAGATCTGGGATTTTTAATTCAGTATACCCATTCCAAAGAGCAGCTAGGTGGCACAGTAGATAAGAGTGTGGAGGGCCTGAAGTCAGGAAGACCTGAGTTCAGATTTGGCCTCAGATACTAGCTATGTGATCCTGGGCAAGTCACTTAACCCTGTTTGCCTCAGCTCCTCGTCTGTCAGATGAGCTGGAGAAGGAAATGACAAACCACTCCAGTGTCTTTGCCAAGAAAACCCCAAATGGGGTCATGAAGAGTTGGATAAGACTGAAATGACTGAACAGCAAAATTCCAGCTGAAGATGAACATTATCCTTATAATTTTGTCTTAGTGTCCAAACTAAATTTAATATCCAAATTAAAATTTTATCTTAATATCCAAACTTATATTGAGGTTAAACTTTGATATTGCATCATATAACATTTATGTCTATCAGAATATGTTTGATACTAGATAATCATCATCATTATCTGCAAGAGGGATAAGAATAAAGATTTCTGATACCATATGTTAGAAATGTTATATGAGAAATTTTTGAACCAAGGAGCAAGATGGACAAGTTCCTTTCTTTACTGAGATTCTGTGGTCCCCAACCTACCAAAGCATACAAAAGACTAAATATTCAATTACAGAGTGTTCCTTAGAGAAATAACAAACAACTTAAAGAGCTGGTGGAATATTCAGTGCTCATGGCTGGGCTATGCCAACAGAATAAAAATGACAGTACTACCAAATTTAATTTAAACTTTTAATGCTATACCAACCGAGTTACCAAGGGTAAGGGTAAATTCTTTACAGAATTTGATAAAATAATAACAAAATTTACTTGGAAAAACAAAAGATCTAGAATACCAAGGGAAAGATGAAAAGAAATAGGTATGAAGGGGTAATTACATTTCTATACCTCGAACTAGTAGGGTAGCAGTCATCAAAGCCATCTGGTATTGGATTAAAAAAGAGCAGTAAGGGGCAGCTAGGTGGCACAGTGGATAGAGCACCAGCCCTGAAGTCAGGAGGACCTGAGTTCAAATCTGGCCTCAGACCAAACACTTGACATGTAGTAGCAATGTGACCTTGGGCAAGTCACTTAACCCCGATTGCCTCACTAAAAAAAAAAGAGCGGTAGATCAGTGGAATAGGCTAGACAAAGGAGAATCAGAAACAATGGAATTCAGTAACCTGGTGTGTGATAAAGTGGAAAACATAAATTACTTAGGAAAAAACTCCATATTTGATAAAAACTTCTGGGAAAACTGGAAAGCAGTCTGGCAGAAATTAAACTTAGACTAACACCTTACATAATTTTTGTAATACCTTTTAACTGGGTATACAGTTAATATGAAAGATCATACTATAGAAAAATTAGAAGAGAATCAGATGGTATACCTCTCACATCAATGGATAGGAAAGGTATTCTTAAACAAATAAAAGATAGAAGCAATTACTAAAGATAGAATGGAAAACTTTGATTACATGAAACAGTTTCTGAATAGACAAAATTAATGCTCCCATCATAAAAGATGTAGTCAGATGGGAAGAAAAACCTTTGTATCAGATTTCTCTGATAAGGGTTTAGTATTCAAGACATATAGACATTTAATAAATATATACATAGTACTAATTGCCATTTCCCGGTAGATAAGTGATCAAAGGATATGAACAGACAGTTCTCAAAAGAACTACATGAACTAAAGAATGAATGCTCCAAATCACTAATAACAAGAGAAATGCAAATCCAAACACCCCTGAGATTTCACCTCATACCTTACAAATTGGCAAAGGTAACAAAAAATGGCAATAGTCAGTTTTGGAGGGGTTGTGGAATGAAAGGTACGTTAATACATTGGTAAGAGCTCTGAAATAGTATAGCCCAAGGCTGGGAAACCTGCAGCCTCAAGGCCACATGTGATCCTTTACGTCCTCAGGTTTAGCCCTTTGACTGAATCTAAACTTCACAGAACAAATCCCCTTAATAAAAAGATTTTTTCTGTAAAACTTGGACTCACTCAAAAGCCTGCACCCAAGGACCTAGAAGGCCACAGGTTCCCTACTTCTGGTATAGCCCTTTTGGAAATAAGTTTGGAATTATGCACATAAAATGACTAAAATGTCTAGAACCTTTGAACCAGAGATCCCATTATTGGGCTTATACCCAGAAGAAGCCATTAATAGGAAGCAAGTCCTCAGATATGCCAAAATATTTATAGCAGCACTTTTTATGATAGCAAAGAATTGGAAACAAAGTAGATGTCCATCAGTTGGGAAACAGCTAAATAAACTGTGGGGTACATGAATATAATGGAATATTACTATGCTATAATAAATGATATGTGTAATGAATATAGAAAAGCATGAAAAGATTTACATGGACTGATGTAGAGTGAAATAAGCAGAGCCAAGAAAACAACACATACTGTAACTATAATAGTGTAAATAGAAAGAGTAACATACCAAAAAATCAAAAGTAAATGCAACAAAATTATGAAGATCAGGCAGTACTCAAATGAAGAGATATGAGAGGACATCTGTCCACAGATGTTATAGATGATGTGTTTTTGGACTTAACCAGTGTGTCAGTCAGTTGTGCTGGGATTTTTTCCTCTTTAAGAAAAATACTATTTGTTATATGGAATGACTGGAAGGAGGAGGAGGGAGAAAGATTCTGGGGATAAGTATGATGATATAAAAGATGGAAGATATCAACAAAACATTTCTTAAAAAAAGGAACTTTTTTTAAGGCAAGGATTATTTTACTTTTGTCTTTGTGTTCCAACTGCCAAGCACAATGCCTGGCATAGTAGTTCTTTAATAAAAATGTTTTTCTGTTTAAAAAAAAAAAGATTCTGTGATCCCTTCTAAAACTATACACAGCTGATCTTTAGTAGAGAGTTCAGTTTTAGAGGGAAGAGAAGGTTAAAATAGGCTGTTATTACTTGTAGCTGGTGGCTGATGGCTTTGCCTGAATTCACTGCTAAGAATAATTCCTCCAACAGGCATGTTCTGTGTAATGTTCCTTTTACCATCATCATTTCTGGCAATGTGTATAATACTTGTTAACCTAACCCCATTGTCACATTACAAAACCCTACTATAGTGTCATATGGTCTTTCACCTGAGATGCAAGTGGGGTAGTCAACAACCACTCAAGTGCACTTGAACCCTGTAGGTGTCAGTCTGCTTACTGCTTACAAAAGTGGTCCTGTGGAACTAAACGCCTCTCGTGACATTGTTGTATGTGCCTGGTGTGTTCAAGAAGCAAGTTCACATTGCGTGAGGCATGCCTGTATTTATAATTCCTACCATAGAATGAATGGAAACCTGATTGAAGTAGAAAGTGCGTTGGACGTGGAGTCAGAGAATGTGGATTTTGTTAATTAGCTATGGGCAAATCATCTTTTCTTTAAAGTGAGAAAGTGACCTCTGTGGTTCCTTCCAGCTCTAAATCACAGGATCATATAATCCTATGAACTCATAGTGCTGGTGATTTATTATAATACCTTATCTTGTCAGTGGCTTCTAGATCCTTACATCAGCTCTTTGAAGCAAAAGTAGATCATGCGATGAATGAAGAAATAGATCCAGCAAGACTCAGTGACCTGCTCATATTTATCCATCTAAATAGTGACAGAGTCAGGACTAAAATCCAGATCTTCTGACAACTGGGTCTCCTCTCCTTGAAAGGAACAATAATGCAGCTATCTGAGTATGGCATTCACAGAGTATTCATATTGGAACCAAAATGACCATTAAGAAGACAATGCAATAGAAAGAATTCTAGGAGTCAGGAGAATTGGTTTTGGGTCCTGGCTCTACCATTAAGCTTTGTCACCTTGGGCAATTTATTTCACCTCTGAGCTCAGTTTTTTCATCTGTAAAGTGGAGATAATACTTTTACTCCTCAAAGGATTAGTTAGTTAGGATCAAATGAGATTGTGTATGTAGAGCACTATCTAAATGTAAGCTGCTATTAGATACAGGATTTGCTTTATAAATAATGGTCATTCAGAATCAAAAGTCTTTCTTTACCTTTCTATTTCTCAAACAGGAAATCTCTCCACTTCTCTCTATGGAAGCTATGGTGTTTGTTACAGAAGATAGAAAATTTTCCCAGGAATCCACCTTCCCCAACACATACACTTTTGATTTGTTTGGAGGTGTAGACGTAAGTTTGTTTTGGTTTTCTTGGTATTGGATCTATGTAACTGTTGGACATGAAGATATTTTAGAATTTCATTTGAGAGAAACCATTTTGAGCTCATCTTTTTTAAATATGAATAGCTTCAGCTGCAGGCTTTTGGACAGCACAAATACGTAACATTATAGAAATGATCTTGCTCACTATTTAAAGTAGTTAAAAATCTCTGTTCCCATCTCTGCGTATTGAAATCCTTCCCTTTTTTCAGGGCCCTACTCAAGATACCACCTGCTTGGAAACCTTCCCTGGTCCTTCTGCTAGAAGTAATCTCTCTCTCTCTCTCACTCTCTCCAGTTTCTCATAGCACTTTGGATTTCTTTTTTGTATTTAACATATTTTGTCTCTTAATTTTTGTATGTTTTTTCACTCCTTTATTAGATTGTAGTCTTCCTTTTGTATCTCATCATAACATGGGAGTCACTGTACCAGCAGAACATTTGCTCTGGAAGGTCCTATAAAGCCAAAGAGACTTTTGAGGGAGTCAGTTATGTGATGGACTATGTATGTCTATTGTCCTGGTACCAGTTCTCTACTGTGTCATGCTGCTTTAAAAAAAAAATTCAGATTTTAGAGAATACTTTACAAAAATGGATAGAAAGCAACATAATGATTTCTGAGTACATTTTCAGTAGCTTAAGTGGTGTATACAGCAGAAGTTTAATTCGAATCATAGACTCTGTGGGCTGGAAGAGACCTCTAAAAATTATCCAGTGAAGGTAGCATCCCCTGTCTCAGATCTGGCAGATTTGTTTTAGCCAGGAGACTTGAAGTCATTTGGAGGTATTACGTGCTCTCCTCCCATGTTCTTCTCGCTTGTTGAGCTTAATTTTCCTCTTAATAAAGTTTATTCTCTTCTTTCCAATTTGAGTGTCTTTCTCCTGGGATGGAAAAGACAAAATAGGAGTTAAATAGGAGTTAAGCAGTTTTATCATTCAACTTAATAAACATGTATTAAGTGCCTGTTATGTGCAAAGGCCTTCTGATGGGAACTGGGGAGACAAAGACAGATAAAACACAGATCCTACTTTTAATGAGCTTATACTTTAATGTAGGGAGGGATGGAGGGGATGGACATGTACACAAATAACCATGATAAAAGGAAAGTAGCATGGTACCGTGGATAGAGCACTGAACTTGGAGTTAGGAAAACCTGGCTTCAGATTCTACCTCTTGGGCAAGTTACTTAACCCCCTTGGGCCTCAGTTTCCTCATCTGTAAAATGAGAGAATGGGAAGGGGGATGATGAAAGGAGAATGTGAAAAGTGTAAAGGAGGGATCCAAGCAAAATGCTGTGAGAAATTTGAGGAGGAAAAGTTCGCTTTCAGCAGGGGTCCTATATCTTCTTCTTATGCATGTTGTGAATAGAGATTATAAAACCCTAGTCAAGGAAAAGTCTCTGAATATTTTGAAGTCTACTTTCCTTAAATCCAGGGTATATATCTAAATGTACCTAGAATTTTTTCCTTCCCAATTATCAGTTCCAAGATTACATTGTCATTGTCACTTTCTCATTTGCTCAGCAAACATAAATAAATACAAAGCAATTTTTAGGAGGATGGCACTAACATCTGTGAAGATTGGGACAGTTCTCATGAAAGAAGTAACATTTAAGCTAAGTCTTAAAGGGTCCCAGGGATTGCAAAAAGCTGAAGTTACAAGGGTATTCCAGGCATGGGAGATAGCCTGTGCAAAGGCATGGAGGTGGGAGATTGAATGTTATGTATGAGGAGCAGCAAAGTCTCCAAAGATTCTGATCACTTGAGTATCACAGTTAATTTTTCCTCATTGGTAAGATAGTCTGGTGTTTTTAGAAAGCTTATCCCTTCCATCCCACCTCCCACTCCAGTTCCTCTCTTTACTTTTCAAGAGATAAAAATGTTGATTAGGGAAGCCAAGAATTTATCAGATTCTCTACTTTTAGCTGAATTAGACTTCTGGCTGATATCCAGAGAGTTGAAGTCTTTCATTTGCTATTGCTAACATGGTTATTCTTTTAAATCTCTTCAATTTATCATATATAGTTTAGAGGTCAGGTTTTTACTAATTCTTAGAGGGAAGGTGTCCAAGGGTTTATGCTGAAGGAAGTGATTTTTTTTTTCCTGGAGAAAGGAATTTGTGTTCATGTTGTCATTTAATTATTGGATCTTTTGGAAGATTTGTAATGGGTATGGGACTATTAACTTCATTTTCTTATTTTAGTTTTCTGTCCTAGAAGTCTTTATAATGGGATCAGAAAGAGGGAAATGACCAGAACACCTTTGAAAATCAGTAATTCTTACAACTTCTCAGCCAAGTGGGGGTTGCTCTGTTGCTCCAACTAGGATTTAGTAGTGACAAGGGCTTGCTTAGGAAATAACAACCTGGACGAGGATAGTAGGTTGGCTGCTAGTGTTCTCTCCTGTTTTTGTTGTTTAGTCATTTCAGTTGTGCCTGACTTTTCGCAACCTCATTTGGGATTTTCTTGGCAAAGATACTGGAGTGGTTTCCCATTTCCTTCTCCAGCTCATTTTACAGGTGAGGAAACTGAGGCCAGTGGGATTAAGCGACTTGCCGAGAGTCATATAGTTAGTAAGTATCTGAGGCTGGATTTGAGCTTGGGTCTTCCTGATTCCAGGCCTGACACTCTATCTGCTGTGCCACCTAGCTGCCCCATTCTCTTCTAGAGTTGTGCTATTTTAAGATCGTAGAATAGCTGCAAGGTGCTGGTGGGATTTCTATTCCAACCCCTAGGCTTCTGGACCATTGTTCTTTCTCAGTGTCACCTTAATAAAGGTGGGATGATGTAGTGAAAAAAGCCCTAGTCTTACAATCAGGAGATCTGGATTCTAGTTCTAGCTCTTTCACTAACTAGTTGTGTGGCTTTAGACAATTTATTTTCCTTCTGGGATTTAGGCTCCCCACCTCCAACACAAAAGGGTTAGACTAGGTGACCTGAGGTCTCTTCCAGCTCTTTATATGTTGTGATTTGTAAAACGTTATGCCCCAGTTATATATAAAACAATCACTCTGAATTACATCAAGGGCAGAAAAACCATTGAAATTTTAAGTAGTAAAGGTCACATCAATAAACTCTCCTCCCTTAGGCAGTTGCTTATGTAGCAATTGCTTTGAAATATGAGGCACTTAAAATATCACAAAGTATTAGTTTCATTTTTGTATGCTGTCAGAGTGTGCCTGTGTCTTGGGAGCCAGCAGGGCATGTGAAGATTACTTAAGTCCTCTGGTGATCTTGGTGCCATGTAGAGCCTATAATTGGTGGGCTGTTCCCATGGTACTGATGGGAACTTTCTTTTATTTCTTTTGGGTTTTCTTTTCCATATATTATATGCTTTCCTCCTGGGTATTCATTAATTCCAAACTTCTGAATTGTGTATCTTCTCCTCCCTAGCCCCATGGCAGTTAGAACTGAATACGGGTAGAGGGAAATGGGGAGAGAGAAAGGGGAAAGGGGAAGAAGGGAGGGAAACATTAACACCAATTCATACAATATAGTACCTTGGAGCTATAAGGGATTTTAAACATCATACAACTTCCTCATATGACGTTTGAGACTTGCCTTAGATCATGTGGTAGCCCACTCTCAGAGCTGGGTTTGGAATACTGAGTTCAGTGCTCTTCTCAGTACAGTGAAAATGTGTCATTATGTAGAAAGTACCTTGCCCCTACCACAGGGCCGTAGCAACATTTCAAGCTAGCTGTCCTGGGTTTATTCTTTGCCTTAGCCCCTTAATACTATATTGGTCTCACCAGAATTTCCCACATCAGCTCTGGAATTTGGGCCTTTCCCCAGGTCAGTATGTACTTCTTTGACCTTCTTTCAGTAGGCTCTTTCCTACTGAGCCTGCTTGCTGAATCAGCTGCCTGCTTTTGAATATGTTCTCTAATGTTAGTCTGCAGCTAATTGCCACAGCTCTCTCTCATCTCAGGGTATTGGAGCTGCTTTGCTCAATCCATCTTTGGAGCAATCTCAGAAATGTTGATTTGTCTTCTAGAGTGGAAGTTAAAATTCTGAACCCAGGGAATTTGTCTGAGTTAAGCTGAAGCTTTTCAATTACCTGAAGGGAGACGAGTGCAGAAGCAAATCCTGCTGGTTCATTCATTACACGTGTACTAAGCTCTTACTGTGTTCAGTGCATTGTGCTAGACTCAGTTGGGGATACAAAGATGAATAAGATGTAGCCCCTGCTTTCAAAGAGATTACAATTTGATAGGAGCAAGAGAACATGTAACACCGAGAGCTGTGATAACAGATTAAAACATGACCGGTGCATTATAAGGGGACACAATCCTAGAAGGTCGAGGAAGGAGCTGTTACCTAGTCCAACCTTTCAGGGAGAGCCAGAGACAGCCTTACAGAAAAAGTGGTATCAGAATTGTATATTGAAGAGAGAGACTACAGCAGATAAAGCTGGGGAAGGGAGTTAGTAGGGGCGAATGGTGGTTTTGTAAGTATGGTTGACAATGCAGGGTATATTCCTTTGACAATAATTGTAGCATTGTATATCACTGTGAAAGCAGAAACGAGAACTTATGGTAGGGATCACAGAAATAAGCTAGTCTCAAATATCTTCATTTTATAAAGGAGGCTATGAGGTGCCTAGAGGGGTAGTGACTTACTTAACATTATGCATCTTATTTATTGGTGCAGTCAGGATTAGAATTCCACTTTTCTGATTCCCCTTATTAGTCATATAATCTTTGGCCAAGTCACTTGAATTTTATGAGCCTTGGTTCTGTCATTTGTAAAATTGAGGATATTTTGCTCTGCTCTGCTTCTCTCATAGAGTTGTTATGAGGATGAAATGGCATAACAGATCTAAAAGTATAAACTGTAAAACATGAGACAAATGTGGTGGATTATTGTTATTCCATTGTGCTGCCTCTCTTGTGTCCTGGATATGTGTGGGAGGGTCTTAAAGTCTTGGGAAGAGCATATTGAGCCCTGAGCTGACGCAGACAACACTAGGCCATAACTTGTTCTTTGAAATGATTTTGTAGATTTAATTCAATTCTTTTTTTAATAGCTCCTTGTGGAAATTCTTATGAGACCTACACTTACTACTCAGAAAAAGAAACAGAAAAGTAAGTGAGCCCGTCATTGTCTCTTAAGCCCTTATTTGTTGTGCTTTCCCCCACATCAGTTCTAAAATCCTAGTTCCCTTAGCCTCTATGACTCTCTGGGAGAATGCTGTTCATATGTTAGGAAGAATTCATTGCCCTTAAACTCGGTCTGTATTATCTCAGGAAAAGAAATTGGTGTTTTCACAATTAATGGTATTTGTAAGTAATAGGCTTAGCTATTCAGAACTTAAAAGTAAAAAAAAAGAAAAAAAGATAAATCAATGATTTATTTCCTTTCCCCATAAGTGCAGGTCCTTAGGAGTGATTATATAGCAGCTGATAGGGCTGAAATATGGGACAATTGAATCTAGCTCTTGTACCCCACGTGATAGGGAAACCCTGTCTTCTTGCTGCTGTTAGAGGGTATAGTATTGTCAGATGTTAGCATTGGCAGGCACATCAGATCCTTTAGTTCAGCCCCTTCATCTTATAGAGAAAGAAACTGAGGCCCAGAGAAGTGAAGTATTTGTTCAGAGTTATCCAACAACGTAATGGAAAAGCCAGAACTAAAATTCAGCTCCATGACTCCAAGTCCATGTTTCTTTTCAGTTTATCATCTAATAGAAAATTCAGTTAATCAGATTTCCTGCCCCTTCTCCGGCATTCTGTACGTATACTGATTAATTGAGGTTTTCTTGTATATTGCCATGTACATATATGTATACAAAGGCAACGTAAGATATGATATAGAACCCCAGACCTGGAGTCAGGAAGCCCTAGGTCAGATCTTACTTCTGACATTAGTTGTATGTTCCCATGGACAAATCACTTAACTTCTCAGAGCCTCAGTTTCTTATCTGTAAAATGGGAATAATATGCCTATAGTATTTAAAAAACATGTTTTTTGTGAGATTTCAAGTAAGATAACATGTAAAGTGCTTTGCAGACTTTTAAAGTCAAAAACAACAATGTCATTTTTTATGGAGGATACAATTGGACATAGGCTATAATTAGACAAATCATTAAACTGCCTACTATGTATAAGGCATGTGTTCGATGCTGGGGATTCAAAGACAAAGATGAGAGGCCCTGCTCCCAGTATTCTACCTGATGGATACATAATGAGTACAGGTAAGTATAATATAAGATAAAGAATAAATGAGTGGCCAAGGAGACATTAGACAAAAATGTTAGGAAAGTTTGATGGGAGCAACAGCTGACTGTCTTGGAAGGCCTTCCAGAGTAGGTGACACTTGAGCTAAGCCTCGAGGGAGTTAAGGATTCTCAAAGGCAAAAATGAGGGAGAGGGTGTTCCAGGCATATAGGACAGCCTATGTAAATGTGTAGAGGCAGACAGTTGTACTGAGAGGGGCTGGAACATAGGGGAATATAAGGTGAGACTGAAGAAATGGATTGGAGCCAGATTGTGGAGAGCTTTTCAGATGCCAGGCCCAGGAGTTTATATTGTGTCCTAATGGCAGTAGAGAGCCACTGATGGCTTTTGAGTAGGGGTGTGACATGTCAATCCTATAACCATGTTCCATCTCAGAAATGAATTTGAGGTGAAACAAGTATCTTTATAACAAGGTTTATTGTAGGTTCTTTTTGGTTTGCACTTGAGGCTAGAAGTGTGTTCAGACCAGTGATCAGTTTCCCCTAAAGGAAGAAGAGACCTGGAGTGAAGGTTTTGTAAGTGGTCAGAGTGTTCTCTGGGCTGTGTTCTGCTGAAAGACTTATTTTGGCCACGTGGGGTGGCTGAAGGATTGAGTAAAGGTTTTGCTTTCCATACTAGCAGAAAAAAATAAGGCCTATAAGGCTGGTTTCCTATTTTTTTTTTTTTTAATAGCACAGGGGATCCTAAAGGAGCTGACTTCGTGGGGAGACTTTGAATTGCTAGGGTAATATTGAAGCCTGTTCGTACTGATTGTGAGCCCTCCAGTTTTCTTCTCAGGAAGCAGTAGCAGTAATTGACAAGGAGATAGCTTATGCTAGAAGTGGCTGTCAGCATTCATTTAAGCCTTTCCATTTAGTCCTTTTCAGAATTAAAACAAGCACCACATCAAGGGCTGAAGGCAAACTTATTCCTCTGTTGAGTATCCATTTCTAAACAAGCAGACTGAAGTAGAACATCATATGTCATATTCATCTCTTTAGATCCCCTAGTCAAATACTTAGAGTTTGCATAGGTAAAGAAGATGAAGGGTTGAGGGTAGAAAGACCTTAGGTCATAAACCCCAAACCAGAAATGTCGAATTGTGAAAGGGGAGAAATTCAGAGAGGCCCTGTGGCAAGAATGCAGTTTTCTTCTTTGGAAACTCCTTGCTGGTGTTGTTGATACTCTAAGGAAGTGAGTAGTGCTGTGAACTGATGCTGGTTTGAGTTCCTGCACATCTTGTGATATAAGCATACCCTACCTAACCTCAGTCACTGGCTTTGTAAAAATGACATTACAGGAAGTAGTTACTTCAAGAGGAATAATATCAGAATTGGAATGGGAAGTTGACTGACTGTAAGGGGGATTAATATTGAGTCATTGTTCATCTTATTTGTATTTTTGGTGATTAGGCAAATGACATGATAGTCTGTTTTTGCAGTGTTACAGTGGAGTCTGTTTGAAATGCCTTGAAGATGTTATTGTGAAGTGGCATTTACCAGCCCAGTGTTACGTTGGGTCTGTGCATTCTTCAACCAGCTCACTATTGCTCCTTCCTCTCAGAAGTGAAGGCTGAGGTAGAAAAGAACAGGGCTTGAGATATGGTGTCTACCCTAATAGCCCCATGAATTCCTAGAGGATCAGAATTCTTTATTTCATTCAGAAGTGTTGGCACAATTTCTCTTGAGAGCAAATATCCAGAGATATTTGCTACCTGCCATATAGGTCAAACTCTAGCACAAGTTAGTGTGGTGAAGACAAAGGTTTTGGGATTAGGGATTAGGACAGTTGGCATAGAATCTGATATAACTTGCATTAGGTAGACTGCTCATGGGGATCAGAGAGAGAAGAAAATATCTTTCGTTGATCAGTAAGCACTTAATTAATTGCCTTCTGTGTGCTAGGTATTGAGGATACAGAGATGAAAACAGTACCTGTCCTCAAGGTGATAACAGCATGATGTTAATGGTTAATGGGGTTTGTACATATGTTTATTTTAAAATGTGCTTTACTATTCACAGCCATACTTGGCCCCATTTGGATTTTGAGTTTTTCAGCTGATTAAAAAAAGGAAGTTTTCTTTTGGTGTTATGGTTAACCTCTATCCTTGCCTAGCCTCTTGTTAAAGTGATTCATTCCAGCATTAATAACCACGTATTGTTTTTTTTTCTTTCAGTAAGTGATGATCTGACCAAGGACTGTTTAAGCATCTTGTATAATACGTGTATTTGTGTAAGTATCTCTGCTTTGGGGACCCTTATTTTTGCTTTTTTGATAAATTGGCAAGTAGGACTTTCTAGTGCTTTGGCCCAAATCAGCATGTGGTGTTTTTGTAAATTAGCCACTTTATATTTCCAAGAGACATCAAAATTCACTGGAGTCAGGTGATTGGACAGATATTTCCTATGTCTGTCCATGAAAGTCCATCAGCTTCCATGATCCTAAGTTTTGATCTTTTTCTTCAAAATATCCTAAGCTTGGGAACATAATGGGATTGTTATCTTTGGTTCCTATTTCTTCAGGAATTCCCATGGTTTTGGCTGATTTATGAATTGTCTTCCTTACTCTGACAGTAGAATTGTTAAATGAAAAAACAATGTCAGTACCTTTGCTTCACTCAAGGAGACCACTAAATGCAAAATAATGTAATTGAGTTTATTTGCCTTGTTATTATTGTCATTATTACTGTTCTTTAATGATACTGTGCATTAGATAGTTTTGCAATTTGCAGCATGCATTACCTCACTTGATCCTCACAAAAACCCTGTAAGACAGGCAAGGCTGTAATTATTAACCCTGATTTTCAGATGAAAAGACAGGGTTAGAAACGTGCAGTGTCTAACCCATGGTCATCTAACTGCATGGCAGATCCTAGAGTAGAACCCAGGCCTTAGGAGTACTTTCAGTGCTCTTTTCCTTTTGCCATCCTGTCTCTCTGTATTGTACTGTCTCTTTTCTTGCTGGCACTCTAAATGTTTAACATCATAATCCTTAAAGATGTATACTCTTCATCCATACTTTTGTCTTTTGACTGTTTGTTCAACTTAATTCTGTTTCCTAGATTGAAACATATTTTCCATTTCCAAAAAAAGTTATTTAAGAATTCTCATGAACAAAATTTCTTTATTTACACATTTGATTAAATCTTTTTTAAAAATTTCAGGTCTCTTTGACATATGGAATTGTTTCTGTATCTTGTTTGGAGGAGAACTAAAGAAAAATTAATTGATTAATGAACAAAGAAAATATAACTGATATGGGACTCTACCTGAGGATACCAGTTTTTTATGTTGGAGGTGTTATATCTCATCTCATGGGACTTGACCTTGATCAAGCAGGGAGCATTCTATTCCACTGTTGAATGATTAGGAAGTATATATGTGGCATCTTAGCTAAGCTGGCTGTACTTGTTTGCAACATAGCCCAAGTACATCTTGGCGGAATTGACTATATGTATCTAGCAGGAGTACGTTGGCATCACCAGCCTTTATCCAGTACGGGTATGGCTGTACTTCAGCCAACATTTTTCGTTTCCTTTTAACAGACTGATGGAGTTACAAAGCGTCTGGCAGAAAGAAATGACTTTGTCCTCTTCTTGTTTACACTGATGACAAATAGGAAGACATTTCTACAAACAGCAACCCTCATTGAAGACATTCTGGGTGTTAAAAAGGTGAGTTTTGTCTGAAGATTGACCATCTAGCTGGGGTTGATCCCTACACTCCAGTATGATGCTGAGGTAATTTGTTCATTTGTTTATTCATTTAGCATCCGTTTATTGATTGTGTACTATGTGTCACACACTGTACTGAGCACCGAGCTTGGCTGGATCAAAGGTAGCTAAGACATGGTCCCTGTTCTCAGGATGCTTGTGCTCCAGCAGAAAGGCTATGCCACACACACTCTCCTAGGTCAAGCCAAACTGGCCAGTCAACATCCATTAAATGCTTGCTGTCTGCAGAGTAGTCTGCTGACCATGACTAGCAGGCTTGGAAGCTCTCTGATATCCTGGACATGGGGGATTCCTGGTGTGGGAGCTCTCTCCACCAATCTTTCTGCAACTTAGCTAACAGGTTTTAGGAAGGTACTTGAGCCTTTGAGAGGTTAAGAGACTCAGGATCATAGGAGCACAAATTCAGAGCTGAAAGGGACATTGGAGGCCAAAGAGGAAGCCAAGGCAAAGGGAAGTTGAATGACTTAACTCATGTTTACACAGCTAGTATGGGTCTGAGATGGGACTTGAACCCTGTCTTCCTGATTCCAAATCTAGTGCTCGTTACTTCCTCTCTTAATAACAGCATGAGAGCCACAAAGAGTTATACAGGATCAGAAGAAGGAAAGGTTTCTTCTATTTCTTTCATTTATATTGGGTAGTTAGGTGGCACAGTGGATGGAGTAGTGGGCCTGGAATAAGGAAACCTGAGTTCAAATCTGGCCTGAGACACTTAACCCTGGGTAAGTCCCTTAACCTTTATTGGCATAAGTTTCCTCAACTATAAAATGGGGATAATAATAGCATCTACCTGGCAGGGTTGTTGTGAGGATCAAATGAAGTAATAAATCATAGAGCACTTAACACAGTGTATGGTACATAAAAAGGACTATATAATGTTAGTTGTTTGTGGTATTTTTATTTCATGGAGGAGCTGACGTTGGAATTAGCCTTTGAAAGATGAGTAGGGTCACACAAACAATGCACCAACCAAACTGAACTAGAAGCTGTTCCCCAAATTCAGAGTTCTATCTCCTACCTCTGTGCATTCACACAGACCATACCCCAGATGTCTAGAATTCACTCCCTTCTCCTCTTTTACCTTGGGAGGCTCAGGTTAGCTGCTACCACCTATGTTATTTCCCCCTGATGAAAGTGTTCTCTTTCTTCTCAAATTTCCTTAAAGTACATTGCCAGGAACTAGATCATAGGATTGTGGGATCATAGATTTGGAGTTGTAGGCCATCTTGTTCAACGCTCTCATTTTCTAAATGAGGAACTGAAGCATATAGAAGTTGAGTGATATGCTTAGGATGTCATAGGAAGGAAGTAGCAGAGTTGGGTTGTGGACCCATGTCCTCTGATTCTGAATCCAATATGCTTTTCATTATATCATACTGTTTCCCCCACCAAAAAAAAAGTTACCTGAGATTACAAAAGGAAGGCCCAAATGGTATTCCAGGCATAGGGAAACCATGTGAGCAAATGGATAGAGGTGGGAAAGTTGTGAATATATATGAGGGATTGTTTAGACCTCTTGTAGTGGAACAGAAAGCTATTAGAGATAAGACTGGAAAGACAATCAGCCAGCATTTATTAAGTGCCAGGAATTGTGCTAAGTACTGGGGATAAAAAGAAACAAAAAAATAGTCCTGCCCTCAGGGAGCTAACATTCAAATAAGGCAGAAAAAACATGAAAACTAGGTATGTACAAGTTACATATGAAGTTGATGGAAGGCAGACTGAGAGGGGAAGGCAGTAGAAGCTGTGGTAGTGGGAGGAGGGTACTAGGAAAAGCCTCCTGTAAAAGGTGGAATTTAAGTGAGTCTTGAAGGAAGTCAGAAAGTTAAGAGGCAGCATTGAGAAGGAAGAACATTTCAAAGCGTGAAGGACAGCCAGGATAAAGGCACAGAGAGGAGATGGAGTTTGAGAAATAGCTGGTAGGCCAATAGGGTTAGATTTTAGAATGTGGGGAGGAGAGTAAAGTATAAGAAGATGGAAAAAGTAGCAAGAGAACAGGTTTTGAAGAGCTTTTTTTTAATTAATTTTTTTGCCCCAATTACATGTAAACAAAAATTTTTATTGTTCATTTTTTAAAAATTTGAACTCTAAATTCTCTCTCTCTACCTCCCCTCCCTCCTCCCTGAAACATCAAGCAATTTGATATAGATTGTACATGTGCGGTCATGCAAAACATTTCCATATTAGCCATGTTGCAAAAGAAAATACAGATTTTAAAAAATAGAATAATGAAGAAAGTAAAGAAAGTACGCTTCCATCTGTCTTCACACTCCATCAGTTCTTTGGAGACAGATACCATTTTTCATCATAAGTCCTTCAGAGTTATCTTGGATCATTTTACTGTTGAGGATGGCTCAGTCATTCATAGTTGTGATTATCTTACAGTATTGTTGTTACTGTGTGCAGTGTTCTCCTGGTTCTGCTTAATTCCCTTTGCATCAGTTCCTGTAAGTCTTCTGAATAACTTTTTTTTGGGGGGGCTAGGCAATGGAGTTAAATGACTTGCCCAAGGTCACACAGCTACTAAGTGTTATGTGTTTGAGGCCGGATTTGAACTGAGGTCTTCTTGAATCCAGGGCCGGTGTTCTATCCAGTGCGTCACCTAGCTGCCCCTCTGAATAGCTTTAAAAGCTGATCAGGGGACTTTATATTTGAGGAGGTAATCATTGGAGTTTGGTGTCTGATCAGTGCTTAAGGGAAAAAAATCACTTTGGTAGCAGGGTAGAGGATGTATCGAAGTAAAGAGAGACCTGAGGCAGTCAGATCAAGTAGAAAGATATTTTAATAATGTTAGCAAGAGGTGATAAAGGCCTAAACAAGACTAGTAACTGTGTGAATGGAGAGAAGGTATATGAGAGTCATTGTGAAGACAGAAGTAGTGAGATTTGGCAGTAGATTGTATATGTGGGATTAGTGAGAGTGAGGAATCGAGAGTAACACTGAGGTCGAGAACCTCAGTGACTGGGAGGACTGTGGTATCATTCTTGACAGTAATAGGAAAGTTTAGAAGGGGAAAGAGTTTGAGGAACAAGATAACGGAACATGATGATGTGGGACTGTAGCTCAGGAGAGACTCGTACTAGATATATGGATATGGGAATTATCTTTAGAGATAGTAATTGAACCAGTGGGAATCAATGTGATCACTGAATGATACAGTAAAAAAGGAGAAAAGAAGTAGGCCCAGAATAGAGCTTTAAAAGGGAACCCACAGTTAGAGGGTGTGAAATCAATGAAGATATAACAAAAGAGACTGAGAAAGAGTAGTCAGGTAGGAGAGAACCAAGGGAGAGCAGTGTCACAAAAACCTGGAGAGGAGAGAGTATCTAGGAGGAAAAGATGATCGATAGTGTCAAATGCTGCAGAGAGGTCAAAAATACCAGAATTGAGAAAAGACCAATAGATTTGACAATTAAGAGATCATTAATAACTTTGGAGAGAGCAATTTGAATTAAATGATGAAAGCAGAAGCCAGATTACAGAGGGTTAAGAGAGTGAGAGGAAAGAAAATAGAGGCACTTAGTGTTGACATCTTTGTCAAAGAGTGTAGCTGAGAGAAAGGGCAAAGATTTAAGGGAAGATAGCCATGGGGTTGGTCAGATCAACTGAAGATTTTCAAGGTTGGAGGAAACTTGGGCATGTTGTAGGTAGCAAGGAAGGAGCCAGTAGAGAGGGAGAGATTGAAGATTAGAGGGAGACTGGGGATGATTGGGAGGACAATTTGTTGGAAAAGATGAGAGGGATTGGGATCAAAGCTACATTTAGGTGGATTGGCCTTGAAAAGTGTGACCCTGGGCAAGTCACTTAACCCCAATTGCCTCACACAAAAAAAACAAACAAGCAAAGAAAAAAAAGACCACCACCTCTTCAGTTGATACAGGAGTGAAGGGGGAAATAGTCAGGGAAAATATCTGAGTGATGCAAGATGAGACGAGAAGGTGCTCTTGCTGAATGGACCAAGGGCAAGGGATTCGAGAGTAGGGGATAGTGTCGAGTTGAACTGGTTCATTAAGGGGTCAGGATAGGAAAGGAGGGAGGGTATAGTCAGTGTAGGTATGATGGCCTGGGAAAGATTTGAGAGGTAGAGGGAATGAAAGTCACAGTGAAAAAGAATGGAACTATGGATCATAAGGCTTAGAGAAAGATGAAATGATAAAAAGCTACAGTCAGATAAGGAATTTCAGAGTTCACGAACATGGAAGTAGAATACTTGTGATTGATGACAAAATCAAAGATACGACTGTTTCTATATGGAAAGGTAGGGTAGTATCAGATTATGGAGGACTTTGAATGCCAGTCTAATGAGTTTGAGCTTTATTTGGCATCATTAAATGAGAGACCAGCTAATGGAGTGTCTTGATCTGGGTGGGAATCACTAAATGTTTGACTTTATAATCTTAAGAACTCAGTATTTTAAATTCACCCAGGAACGATCTGATTCGTTGTATCTAAACCCATGAGAGACTAATTCATAAATCAGGATGCCAGTTTACTATGGCAGATAACATCTTTCTAGTAATCCAGATGCCTCTTAGAGTAGATTACTTTCTGGATGGCTTAATCGCATCCATTTTATATTGTTTTTTAGCTCCAGTTTCATAGGGGACCATTTTCTGACCCTTTACAAGTTCTTTGTGTGCCTCTTGATATGGGGCCCATAACCTCCTGTGCATGACATTGTCAATTAACAGATTTCCTCTTATTAGTACTGGGGTACACAGAAGGAGCCTCCTAGGGAATATGTGGGTAGGTTGTAGTTATTATTTGATGATAAGAGATCTGTGTGCTTCCCTTTTCTAGTCCCCTTTACCCCAAGTTTGCCTGTTTTTCAACCAGCCTCCCATTTCATTGTCCCTGCTGAATTTTCCCTAGGCCTGGTCCTTTGTTCTGGTGTGATGAAGCAGAAATGGCTAATTGTCTTGTCCCAAGCTTCATGTAAGTGCAGAGAGAGAGTGAGTGAGTGTGTGTGTGTGTGTGTGTGTGTGTGTGTGTGTGTGTGTACGTACGTGTACTCGCCCTTTTACAAAGGGACCTAGGCCAATCCATTGTTGCTTTAATGAAAGGACTTCATTCTTTACCAGTTATTTTTTCCAGCTTATGAAAAGAGAAGAACAGACAAGGAAGGGGAGACCTACAGACAAGCCTCTGTGGTGTGGTAGGAAGCACTGGCCAGGGAATCAGAAGACTTGGGTTCTCATACACCTCTGTCACTTACTCATTATGTAACCTTAAGTAATTTCTCTTTACTTCTTTGCCTTGGTTTCTCCATTCACAAAATGAGAGGATTATACTGAAACCATTCTGGTGCTAATGTTCTGTGATTTTTGTAACAAAGGTACTTCAGAGTCCTCTCAGTTTTTTGGCACCTGAGTAAGGAGGGAAAGGATCATGCTAAAACTTTAGTCTCAAGTGACTGACTGAGGCACCTACTATTCCTTCATCAACACTCCTCTATATTGAAAGCCTGCCATGTTCAGTAAAGCTTTTTCTCCCTTCCAGGAGGCATCTTAATTCTCCCAGAGTTTGGAGGTTTCTGCTGCAACAAGCTAAGTCTATTAGGTACATTGTGCTAGAACCCACACTGTTTGATTTTTTTTCTCTTAAAAAAGTTAAAACATTTAAAAGGTGATTTGGATTTTTTTTCCCCCTACCAGTTTTCTTTTCCAGTACTCTCACCTTGTACAAAAAACAGCAAGAAACAATCCTTCTCCCTTCGTGGCAGGAAGAGACTGGTTTTCAGCCTTGTCTCATGTCAGTCTCCTACGTCAAGAACTCTTGCCCTAGACCATGTTTTCAGGGATAGCTAAGTTTGAATGAGGCAAATAAGTTCTTTTGATTAGTTATTTATATGGTGAAAAAGACAACTTTAGTTTTTTCTCCTTAAATTTTTTTTTACTTTTAAAAAATGATTTGGATTTTTTTTCCATATTAATCTTTCTTCTCATCCCTCGATAGCCCATTATTTTCCTGTTCATCACCTTCACCATATCCCAGAGGTTGAAAATTCAGGGCAAAACTTAACAGCCAAAGGTCAAGGATACACAATATTCCTCTTCCCATTATCTGAGATTGTTTTATTCCCTTTTCTCTACCTTCTTTTCCTAAGATGGGGAAATAAAAATTAAAGGTGAAATAACAGCTTTTAAAGTCTGAGTGCCACATGGAGGAAATCTGACCTGTGACTTGGTGACATTTCACATGTTCTAGGCTACAGAGAGGGACTCTGGTTGAAAGGTGCTGGCACACAATGCAGAAATTTATTTTGCTTGACTATATGTATTTTGATTTTCTTGTCTTCTCATTGGGGGGGAAGAGAAAATGGGAGGGAGAAAAGGTAGATGTTTGTTAGAAAAAAAATTTTTTAATTAAAAAGAAAGTTACTGGAAAAAACATTTCTGATTGGGAGTGGGTCATGGCCAGGAGCTACTGCATAGTAGTGGCTATCAGCATGCCCCTTTCCTTACCAAGTAGAAGCAAAATTGCTCTGAGAATATTTCCCTTCCTTATACTTATTTCCCTATTACTCAGAAATTTTCCTTTGCAGTGTATCACTGTTTGGCAGAAAGGAAGAGAGTATCCCTTTACCCTAAAAAAATCAGAGTTTTCTGGTTTGCTCTGTAAAGTAAGAGTATACAGAAAAAAATTGTGTTTTTTGCAGGAGATGATCCGGTTAGAAGACATCCCCAACCTTGCTACTTTAGTTTCCAGTTTTGATCAGCAGCAGCTTGCTAACTTCTGCAGGATTCTGGCTGTCACAATATCAGAGCTTGACACTGGAAGTGATGACAAGCATACGCTTCTTGCCAAAAACGCCCAGCAGAAAAAAAACCTGGGTCCTACTCGTGCTGAAATCAACCAAGGTAAGTAGCCTAGCTCTCAGACCCTGAGGCTTTAACTCACCACCCCCTTCCTGAGACATCTTGTTCTCAAAACATTTCTCAAGTTTCAGAAGAGGGTCTCACGTTCTCCTTTTGACAGTCATCTGTATTGAAAGCCTGCTTTGTTCGGTAAGATTTTTTCTCTCCTCCAGGAGGCATTTTAATTCTTCTAGAGTTTGGAGGTTCTTGTTGCAACAAGCTGTAGGTACACTGTGCTAGAACCATATTTGTTGATTTTTTTACCTTAGAAAAATTAAAACTTTTAAAAGGTGATTTGAATTTTTCCCTTAACAGTTTTCCTTTCATATCCTGTAACTGGGAACTTTGTAAGATTATCATTTGAAGAATATAGCAGAGATATGGAAGAGAACTAAGTTTTTGTTTTTATTACTATGTGACACACACTTTCATTCTTAAGTGCTGACTTAGTTCATTTAATTCAAACATTTATTAAGCATATACAATGTTCAAGAGACTGTTAGGTGCTGGTCATACTAAGACCTGACTGAAATAATATTTCCTCCCAAAGTTTGCATTCTATTGGAGGTATAAAACATGTAGATAGTTCATTAAGTAAATTGAAGAGGGAGAGACCAAGGAAGTAGCACTTAAGCTGGGTAAGGTTTGAAACAAGATAAGGGTTTTGCGAGGCAGAGTTGAGGAGAAGGTATATTCTAGACTTGTGGGGAGGTGGGAAAAGACAGGCAGGCACAGTTTGTGCAAATAGATGGAGGCAGGAAATGGAATGTTCTGGAAATAGTAACCTCCTTTAGCTAAATTATAGATGCAGAATGCCTGAAAGGGGATCAGGAGAAATAGAGCTGGAAAGGTAGGTTAGATCCAAACTCTGAATGGCCTTACATGCTGGGCCAAGGAGCTCAGATCTTATTTTAGAGGCATTGGAGCCACTTTTTGAGTTTTTACAGGGATACTAAGATGTTTAGACCTGTGCCTTAATCTGGTTTTGAGATCTTTCAGACAACTATTAAAATGGAAACAGGGAACCCATTTGGAAGCTGTATAGTTCAAGTGAGAAGTGATGAGTTACTGTAAGAGTAGAGAGAAGGGAATAAAATGCAAAATGTGGAAGTAGAATCCACAGGGCTTGTTAATTGGACATTCAAATGTGGGAGTAAGGAATAACAGAGTTTCACATAATGCAGATGTTTGAAGCTTAGATGATTGGGAAAATGTAGTTGTTCACCCAGAAATAGGCACGTTTGGAAGAGGAGCAGGATTGGGGGGGAAGGGGATGAATTCCATTTTGGCCATGTTGAATTTGAGATGCTGATCAAACATGCATATGAGGATGTCCAGTAGATAGTTGAAAATATAGAACTAGAGTTTAGGAGACATATAGGTATGCACATACGCATGCATGTATATTCACATACACGTGTATGTGTATATACACGCGTGTACATGTATTTGCATGTGTGCATGTGTGTTTATTACACACACACATTTTGAAGTCATCTGCATTCAATTATCAACCCATGGGGACTATTGAAATTACCGAGGAGGAGAGGATCTATAGAGAGGAGAGATTAAGACAGAACATTGGGGATAAACAAGGAGGCACGTACAAACACAGTAAAAATTAAGACAAACTTTAGGATTGTATTTGTTAGAAGAGAGGGCTATACTGATAATTCTCAAATCGACCTTTCCTGCCTGAAACTCTCTGCTTACCTCCAGTCTCATATCTCTAACTGCTTTTCAGACATCTCTGGATGTCCAATAGACAGCTTAAACTCAGTATTCCAAAACAGAACTCATTATATTTCCTCCTAAATTCTCCCCACCTCCTACCTTTCCTGTTACTGTAGAGGGCGTCACCATCCTCCCAGTTGCTCAGGCTTGAAACCTAGGAATCACCCTAGAATCTCACCCTCCACATCCAAGCTGTTGCCAAGGCCTATCAATTTTGCCTTTGCAACCTCTTTAGTATATGCCCCCTTCTCTCCTCTGAGACTTCCACCACTCTGGTGCAGGCCCTCATCACCTCACAGTGGATTATTGTGCAATAGCCTTCTGGTGAGTCTGCCTGTCTCAAGTCTCTCCTTACTCTAATCCACTCTCCATTTAGCCACTAAAGTGATTTTCCTAAAGTGCAGGTCTCATCGGGTCACTCTCCCACTCAGTAAAGCTCCCTAATTCCTCTGGGATCAAATATAAAATACTTTGTTTGGCATTCAAAACCTGTTATAACCTAGTCCCCTCCTATCTTTCCAGTCTTCTTACACCTTGCTCCCTGCCGTATATTCTTCAATCCAATGACATTGACCTCCTAGCTGTTCCAAAACAAGAGACTCCATCTCGTCTCTGTGTTGTCCTCCATGCCTGAAATACTCTCCCTCCTCTGCTTTATTTCCTGACTTCCCTTGCTTACTGACCTCCTTTAAGTCCCAACTAAAATCCCTTGTTTTACTGGAAGCCTTCCTATCCCCTCATAATTCTAATGCTTTCACTATGTTAATTTTTTCTTATTTCTACTGTATGTAGCTTACTTAGGGCATCTAGCTGTCAAAGTGGACTGAGTGCTAGGCCTGCAGTCAGGAAGACTCATCTTCCTGAGTTCAAATCTGGCCTCAGACACTTATAGCTATGTGACCCTGGGCAAGTCATTTAACCCTGTTTGCCTCAGTTTCCTCATCTGTAAAATGAGCTGGAGAAGGAAATAGCAAGCCACACCAGTACCCTTGCCAAGAAAACCCCAAATGGGGTCATGAAGAGTTGAACACAACTGAAAAATGACTCCACAACAACAACATAGCTTGCTTTGTATATATTTATTTGTATGTTGTCTCCCCTATTAGATTGTTCCTTGAAGGCAGAGACTGTCTTTTGGCTCTTTTTTTATCCTGTCCTTAGCACATTGCCTGGCACATAGAAGGCACTTAATAAATGTTTATTGATTGATTTGATTCTGTTTTGGGGTGTTGAGTTATCAGGAAAAACAAAAAAAAGTGATTTTTTTTTAAAAAAAAAAGACGTTTTGATCAGAGATGCAAATTTCAGAGTGGAGGTTGAATAATTTTGGGTAGTGTAAGGCTTGACTCTGAGTGTGGCCTGGGTGCAGCATGTGGGTTGAGGAGGTTGATGAATGGAGAGGCTAGGGTGTTGGAGGGAACATAATATGAATTTTTTAATGTATTATTTATTTTAAACATTCTTTTTATTTTTTTAAATTTTTAGTTCCTAATTCTCTTCCTCTAGCCCCTTCTCCACTCATTGAGAAAGCAAGCAATATGACATCAGTTATACCTGTGAAATCATACAAAGCATATTTCCATATTAGCCATGTCACACGAAAAAAAGCAAGAAAAATAAAGTGAAAAAAACTATAGTTCAATTTGCACTCAGAGTTCATCAGTTTTCTTTCTGGAAGTGGATAGCGTTTTTCATCATGTAATCCTTCAGAATTGCCTTGGATCATTGTATTGATCAGAGTAGCTAAGTCTTTCACAGACATCATGTAAATATTGAAGTGTCTGAGAATGAGATTGGGGTGGAGAGGATGGTTGAACCAGGTACTGAATTCCTTGAGAAAGAAAAGGAGTGGCTGAGAACCAATAGATAGCAGCAACAAGGTAAGATAAATGGAGGGAGAGAACCTCAAAAAGAGATTTCATTATGTTTTTGCTTCTGCAGTGCCTACTGGCTTGTTGTTGGTTGATTGACGGCTTAGTGGCTTGCCTTGTTAACTCTGTTTAGGTTTTTGATAAAGGATTTTTTCTTATCCAAGACCAAGTTTTGGCATTATAATCACTCGACATTTGGTTTCAATTTTTTGCTCTTTCTGTTTACATTGCTGTCTGTCATTGTATATATTGCTTTCCTTTGTTGCTTCATTCTCCATCAATTTATATACAGTTTCCCATGTTTCTCTGAATTCTTCACATTCATCATTTCTTAAGGCACAATAATATTCCATTACTTTCATGTACCACAATTTGTTTAGCCATTCTCCAATCAATGAGCACCTCCTTTGTTTCCAGTTTTTTGCTACAACAGAAAGTGTTGCAGTGAATGTTTTGGTATATGCAGGACTTTCTTTATGTCTTTTATCTCCTTGGAGTCTATGCTTAACAGTGGGATATCTGGATTAAAAAAGTATAGCTGTTAATTCCTTTCTAGTATACTTAAATATTCCATTCCAGACTATTTGGACCAGTTTTTCAGTTTTACCAGCAGTGTATTTTAGTGTACCTATCTTCCCACAACTCAGTCATTGTTGACTGTTTCCATCTTTTGTCATTTTTACCAATTTGTTGGGTATGGAGTGAAACTTCATAGTTGTTGTAGTTTGTATTTCTCTTGTTAGTGATTTAGAACAATCCTGCATATACATTATTGTTAATAATATGCGATTCATATTATTGTTACTATTTTGAGAGGTGCACTGTAGCTTAGTGAACTTTTGAATCAGAGGACCTTGATTCAAGTTGTTTCCTTGTCACTGCCTTTGTGACCTTGATAAATCACTTCACCTCTTTGGGCCTCAGTTTCCTCATCTGTAAAATAAGGGGGTTGGTGAAGACACTGAGATCCTTTCCAGCTTTAAATCTATAATCCTAAATGTTCACATCCTTTGACCACATATGCATTGGGTAATAGCTCTCGGTTTTATGAATTTGTGTTAATTCTTTCAGTATCTTGGATATCAGATCTTTATCAAAGATATTTGATCCAAAGGTTGTTGTTTTTTTTTTTCACATTCAACAGTTTCCCTTATTGTAGCTTCATTGATTCTGTTCATGCAAAGACTTTTCAATTTCTTATAGTTCAAATTGTCTTTTTTCTCTTTTTTGACTGCTTCCATCCCATATTTGGTTGAAAATTCTTCCCTGAGCGTGGAAAAATGTAACTGTCAGATGATCTATGGATAAGGGAAGATTTTATGACCTAATAAGAGATAGAGAGGATCAAGAGAAATAAAATGGATAATTTTGATTACATGAAATAAAGGGTTTGCACAAACAAAACTAATACAGCCAAAATTAGAAGGAAAATAGGAAACTGGCAAAAAATTTAAAGGAAGAGAACCCAGGATAGAGTCCTGGGGGACACTCACCTTAGTGGGCATGACCTGGACAAAGATCCAGCAAAGTAGACTGATAAGGAACAGTCATACAGGTGAGAAGAGAACCAGGACAGAACCATGTCACAGAAACCTAGAGAGAAAAGAGTATCAGGGAGAAGAGGGTGATTGACAGAGGCTGCAGAGAGATCAAGAAGGATGAGGATTGAAAACAGGACCTTAGATTTGGCAGTTAAGAGATCACTGATAACTTTGGAGAGGTTCAGTGATGAGTCAGAAGCCAGACTCTAGAGAGTTGAAAAGAGCAAGAGAAAAGTGGAAACACCCATTTTAAATGACCTTCTTAAGGAGGTTAGTCACAGAATGGAGAAGAGATATGGGACAGTAGTTAGTAGGGATGGAAGGTTCAAGTGAGTATGTTTCTGTTTTTTATTTTCTTTTGAGGTTGGGGGAGACAGGGCATACTTGCTGGGAAGCAGCCAATAGACAAGGAAAAATTGAAGATAAATGAGAGAGTAGAGATAGTGGAGGGGGTAGTCTGCTAATGAAGGTGGGGTGGAATGGGATCACTTGTGCATGTAGCATTTGCTTTGGAATACAATGATCCAAGACAATTCTGAAGGACTTATAATGAAAAATGCTGTCTACCTTCAGAGAAAGGACTGGTGGAGTCTAAAAGCAGACTGAAGTATACTTTTCAAAACTTTTTTTTATTTTTCTTGTTTTTTGGTTTAACAGCTTGACTAATATGGAAATATGTTTTCTTTTTTTTTCTTTTTTTGAAGGCAATGAGGTTAAGTGACTTGCCCAAAGTCATACAGCTGGAAATATGTTTTGCATGACTGTACATGTACAACCTGTCAAATGGCTTCTCAATGATGGGGGAGGGAAGGGAGAGAATTTGGAACTCAAAAATTTTTTAAATGTTAAAAAATTGTTTTTACATGTAATTGGAAAAAATAAAATATTCAAAACTGCAAAAAAAAAGGTTTTAAAGCTTTGCCTTGATAAGGAAAAAGGCCACTTTTTCATGTGAGTCTGAGATGAAGGAGGAGATGGTGGTAGAAGGCATCTGGGTAATGAGATAAGGAGGAGCGGAGAAGGAGAAAGAGAGCTCTTGACAGCCTCAATTTTTTCAATGAAATATGAAGCAAAATTCTTAGCTGAGAACATGGTGGGGAGGGGGAACCATGGCAAGTTTAAGGAAAGATGAGAAGGTTTGGAAGAGCCACTGTGGCATATGGGATAGTAAGTTAATTAGGAAAGTGTAAAAGGTCATAGTATGGGCCCAGTTAAATTTATATAGCATACATTTGTAGCGGACCCAGTCAAAATGGTGTTAGGATTTTTCTCCAGCTTTGTTCAACAGCACTTGTGTAGGAGCAAAGGCAGCAGATGGTGGGAGTGATCCAAGGCTGAGGTTTGGTAGCAGTAATATGATAAGCAATATCATCCCTCAAGGGGACAGGGTAGGATTTAACTGCTTCACCGAAGCGCCATGACAGAGAAAGGAGAAGAATATAGCTAGTGCAGGAGTGATGGCCTGAAAAAAGAACTGAGTTGACAAATGGGAGGATCTGGTAAGGATGAAGAAGAGAATTTAGGGTTTCACGGCAGAGGAAGAGGTGGAATGACAATAGATTGTGATCACATAAGGGTATTTCAGAGTTCATGAACATGGAAGGGGTTTCTTTATGAATGACGACAAGAACAAAGGTATCAAACTAGGATGTGCCCTAAGAAGGGTGACTAGGATCCTGAGAGGGTCTAGAAACCATGTATTGAGGACTGGTTGAAGAAACTGCAGATGTTTAATTTGGAAAAGGAAAGTCGACAGGAAACATGATTGTTTTCAGAGATTTGAAGGGTTGTCATGTGAAAATGAGAGTAGACATTTCATTATTTCCCCAGAAGGCTTAAATAGTACTAATAAGAGACAGATTTTGGCTCAACATGAGAGGACTTTTAAAAATCTGTTGTATAGTCCAGCACTGGACTAGGCTTCCTTTTAAGCTACTAAATTATACGTCATTGGAAGTGTTGAGGAAGAATCTAGCTGACCCATCAGCAGAAAGGAAAAAAACCGCCAACTTAATTGAGGGTTCTTCTAGTTAACTGAGTTCTTGTTATAATCAAGGTTTTAGAGTGGGTTGTATTAAAGTATATTTCTTATCCGTCTCAACTATATATCTACCCCTAGAGAATGCAGATTCCATGGATATAGCTAAAATATATTGCCCAAGAGATAGTATCCAAGGTGGATGGATGTGCTCACATTCAAAACTGTCCCATGTTTATACCCATCCTCCTCTCTCGACTGTTTTCTTTTGCTTTATGTAGATTTCTTATGGTAGATCAGGCCCAACTTAGATATTCAATCACCTTTGCCCTAGCTGTGTTGATGGGTAGAAACTTGTATGATTTCTTGACTCCTTTGTCATTGGGCAGTGTGCTAAGACCTGTGCATAGGCCTTTAATAACATACTTCTGTTTGCAGACTGAGCCATAAATGAATCTTATAATCATTCATCAAATCTGTTTGGTGTTCAGTCCCTATATTCCAGTTAGCCTTTCTCTTTAAGATGAAAAAAAATATAATAAATGCTTACTGAACAGAAGAGTACATGGCCTTTGTACCCCAATCAGTTACCAGAGGAAAACCGTGGGGAGGCATATGTTGTCAGGTGGCAGCCTGTCCCTTTCTTTGTGATGGCCTATCTGGGCTTCCTCCTGTCTCCTTGGTATCATGATTGCTAGCTGCTGTCCTGGTTCTTCCATTCTTGTCCACAGACAGCTTGCATGCCCCACTCATCTCATTTTTACACAGCTTGTTTCTTGGCATCTGTTTCCAACTGTTCCTTGGCTTTCTCATTCTAGCCTAGTTCTTGAAGGCAATGCTAGCTGGCTGTTTGTTTATCTTAACCTTTTGCTGCACTGAAGGAGCTAAATCAATGAGCTGAACTAGATGACCTTTAAGGTTCTTGCAACTATCACATTGTTGAATTCTAAGTGTGCCTAGTACTGTGCTGGGTGCTTTGGGAGATAGAGGGTTGTTTTTGGGAACTGCCTTTATATGCAAAATCCAACCTAGGTGGAGAATGCAGACTAATGCAACTGAAAATTTAAATAACAGTGTAAGACTATTGACATGATGTCACTCATGAATGATGTGGATTGTAAATAACTGTAGGAGATCAGAGGGCAAGTTGGTATCCATAACAGGCGGGTGGTTTTCACAAAGTATACATTTGTAATATTTTGTTTTTCAGTTTACACTTTTTGTTCAGGTACTGAAAGATTGAGGTCTCTGACAGCTATTGTCAGAAATGAATTCAAAAGAAATATGACTAGATATAGGGAGAGAAGAACTGGTGATTTTCATTTAGATAATAAACTTGGACATAGGGCATTAATGTTCTTAATTAGACTGTTATTATTAAATCTGGCAATCATTCACTCAACAAAGTGGGTAAATCAAGTTGAAAATCTAAATACCATATTATTTTTGCTATTTAAATTGACTCAGAATTTTGGTATAAAATAGTAGTTCTGGCTTAGTAAATTTGGTCTTTTTCCAAGTCCATTTCCTGTCAAGCTGGTGGAAAGGAAGTGCTTGCATGCTTGAAAAATTTGGGGGTAGTATTCCTCCTCTGTGTATCTAGTTTTCTTATTTATGAAGATTTACTACTGTCTTTTCTTTTGCAGCAACTCTCCTGAATATTCCAGGTTTTATTGAGCGCCTCTGCAAGCTAGCAACAAGAAAAGTGTCTGAAAGCACAGGCACCTCCAGTTTCTTGCAGGAGCTAGAGGAATGGTACACGTGGCTGGATAATGCCCTGGTGTTGGACGCGCTCATGCGCGTAGCTAACGAAGAGACTGAGCACAGCAGCCCAGGTACTCTAGTTGAAAACCTGGTGACACCATTAATTGGGGGCCCTGTGAAGTTGGGCTGTTTGTTTTTCTTGCTTCTCTCCCTGTCCACCCTGTTCACCTTCCACGTTTATCAAATCTTGAGCCTCCTTCCTACTGCCATTGGTTTAACTGGCATAATTGTGGCTGGTGATCTCCATTGCAGAGATGGAGAGAAACATGGTTCTCTTGGACTAGTTTTTACATGGAAATTGTTTTCTTCCATATTTCACATAGTGTAACCTTGTATGCTAGGATAATAGGAATAGGGACTAGACAGTGATCTCATGATAGGCAATTTTCAGATGAGCAAACTCTCTCCCAATGCAGATCAACATCTTCTCTATAATTTATAGTCTTAGAGAATTTCCTGGAACACTGAGGTATTAAGTGCCTTGCTCAGGATCACATGGCCATTAAATGTCCAAGGTGAGACTTGAACCCAGGTCTTCCTGGCTATGCTTTCAGGTCTATGATAAGATAAAGAAATTCCTTTCTGGAGCACATCTTTCCATCTAGCCTTTGTGAATCAAGGGGCAAAGGAGAATAATGATTTTTAAGAACCATCATACATGTCTATTTGTCATATATTTGTTTCTTTTTTTTTTTTACTAGAAAATTCCTGTAACAGTATTTTACCATTGTGAGTTCAGCCACTACTTTCCCCAGCTACCACCTCTTCCAACTCTAACCTCATTCTGTATATCCTGATGTATTAGTTGATGCATTAGAAGTTTATCCCCCTCTCCAAATTTGATGAGTTTTATGTGTCTCAGATGTCAACTGTGTCCTCAAAGCCCTGAAAACTCCTATCTGGTACTGAAGTAGATTTTGACTCTTTATTATGGCCATTAGAGCTATTGCTCAACCTTGAAGCACCTCTCACTCAATTTCTTCTCCATTGTGTAGTAGATATTTTTCCCCTTTCCCTACTCCAAACTACCAAGGAAGAGAGCCAGTAATGGGGCTGGGGAAAGAAGAGAACCACGAGTTTTCATGACTTGCTTATCCAGATAACATTGGTGTGGGAACTTTGCAATCTGCTTGCTGCCTCAGCACCATTAATAGTGGTCTTAGGAGCCTTGGGGAAGCCTCTTGGGGGTGGGAGAAAAAAGTAGTAGTCTCAAAGTGTTTCTCTCCCCCCACCTCCATTTTAGTGGCAGCTAGTGGAGGCCAAGTGGGTGACATACTGGTCATTAGCTGAACAGTATTGGCAGTATCTCACCTTCTGGGGCTGAATGCTAAGAGTAAACACAGTGAAAGGAAAAAAGAGGTCAGCCTGTTTACATGGTGATTTATATGTTTAGTCAGCTTGTATTCCAGGCTAGTAGAGTGATGTTCCATAGCTTCATTAGCAACTGGGGTTGACTCTTAATCTTTGTTTCTTTCTTGAACTAGCACTAAATGAGATGACTTCTGAAATTAAGTATGTTCCTATAAAATGCAAGTCATCAGTCTAATTTGAGGGTGCAGTAGTTTGAGCCTAAATCGTCAGTATTTCTTTAAAACTCATGGTATTAGTAAGCCTATCCAGAAGAATATAGCACAGATGACATGCAGGGACTATTGGTTTCCAGAAAAGTGAGTCATGGTCAAATCAACAACTACAGATGAAAACAAGTCCCCACCCTAGAAGGGGTGTCTAAACTAAGGACAGCACCCCTGCCAGTACAGTCTTAGCTGTTCATCTTTAAAGTCCAGACCATTGCTTTCTGCTTTCAAAGGAATAGCTTTATCATTTTTAAGTGAGAGAAACTTTTTGTCTGGCCTAAAAATATCTCCTTGGCCAGATGTCTTGTGGAGGTTTAATAAAACTCAAGAATACCTGCACAATTTGCTGTCACAAAGGACTTTTTTCAGGTGGGTGATCGCCAGCGGTGCCAGCAGCCAGCTCAAAATTGGAGTGCTGGAAGTGATCAGTTCTGTGGGGTCTTGGGATTCAGGTGATTAGAAAGTATTTCTCTGGATTTTCCACGAAGTTTCAGTCTTACTCTTCTCCTTTTCAGGATATGGGAGAAACTAGATCATAGAATGTCAGAGATAAAAGGGAATTTAAAATCATCTAGCCCATTCCTTTCATTTTATAGTTGGAGAAGCTGAGAGAAACCTGAAGAAGAGAAAGGAATTGCCCAGTTTCATTGTCCATTAATAGTTACTATATACCAAACAGTGTGCTGGTTGAAGAAGATACAAAGACTAAAGTGTGGCAGTCCTTACTCTTAAGGACCTTACATTCTATCTGTACACATAAAAGGTTATGCAAAATCAATACCAAGTGGTTTGGGGAGGCAGGGTACTAGATGCTAGGAAGGTGAAGAAAGGTTTTATGTTAAATGTGGTCCTTGAACTGAGTCTTGAAGGAAATGGCTTTTAGAAGTTGCAGGTAGGTGAGAAGGAATCTTATTCTAAACACAAAGGATAGTCAGAACAAAGGCATGGAAATGGGAGGTAAAGTGCCAAGTGTGAGAAACAGCAAGATGGATGGTTTGGATGGGCCAGAGAGTAGAGGAGACAAGGGATGATATGTAATAAACCTGAAAAGTTAGGTTTGGGAGTAGGTTGTAATGCCTAGCTCTGAATGCCAAGCAGAACAGTTTATATTTTATTCTAGAGGCAATAGGAAGTCACTAGAATTTAATCAGGGGAGTGCCATGGTCAGAGTTGAACTTAAAGAAAACTTTGGCATTTATGTGGAGAATGTATTGGTAAAGGGAGAAACTTGAGGCAGGGAGAACAGTTAGGGGGCTGTTGCAATAGTCCAGGCAAAAGATGATGAGGGCATGAACTAGAGTGTTGACCATGTAAATAGTGAGAAGGGGGCTGTGACAAATGTTGTATAGGTTAAAATGAAAAGATTTGGAAACTGATTAGATATATTGAGTGAAGAATCAAGAATAACACCAAGGTTGCAAATCTGGGAGACATGAAGAATAGTGGTGCCTTCTATAGAATAGGGGATATGAAAGAGGACTGAGTTTTGGGGTAAAGATAATAAGTTCTGTTTTGAACTTATTGAATCTGAGGTGCCTATGGGACATCCAGTTCAAAATATTGTGGTTAGTGAGGCGAGGATAGATGGAGCTCAGGAGAGAGACTCGGACTCAATATATAGATCTGGGAGTCATCTCTATAAAGATGATGATTAATTAGGTAGAGTGAAAGGAAGATAAATTAGCAAAGGAGATGGGGAAGGAGCAGTCAGAAAGATAGGAGAATCAAGAGAAGGCAGAGTCACAAAAAACCAGAGAGGAGAGGATAGTTAGTTACTAGTATCAAATACTGCAGAGGTAAAAAAGGATGTGACTCAGAACGAATGATCATAGAAAATGAAATAGCATTTGAAAGAATTGACAGATTGCCTCCAGAAAAAAGGCTAGGGCTGCAAACTCTGACACATAGTGGTTACATTTAATAGTTTGGTTCAGAAACAACAATTTCTGCAGTTAATTAGGAGAAAGACCTTCAAATACAAAAGAAAAGAAACTCAAATAATGTGAGACTAGTCTTCATCCTCTAGAAAACATAGGAGGGAATAGAATAATGTGTTCTGAAGAGCAGTGGAGCTCAAGATGCAGCCCAGAGTGACCTACTCCGGCAAATCTGAGCTTAATCACACAGTGAAAAGAGATGGACGTTAAATAATAAAGAGGCATTTGAAACATTTTTAAGAAGAAAATCAGAATTGATGAGATTATTTGTTTCTGGAACACCCCAAATAAGAGAAATGTAGGAGGAATTAATAAATGCAACAGCCATGGATAGCAACAGCAACAGTGACCACAGAGAAAATAGTAAGAGATTTCTTTCCACATGTACAAAAGGAGACAGGCAAAAATCTGGTGGAGGTAATGGTGAACAAGACAGGGCATTATAGACAGAACCTGGCAACACTCTGCCTACAAGTCAATCAGTGTTTTGTTTTTTACAGGACTATATTACAACATGGGAGGGTACATGAAAGGGGAGGAAGAGAATGGGGGATAGAAATGTGTGATGTACCTGGGTCAAATCAAGAACTAACAATGAGGGAAAGGTGACCACTGTGGTTTCAGAAAGAGAAGAACCTATAGGGGAGTGGGTGAGAAGGAAGGGGGTAAGGACTAGAAAGAGGGAGAAAGGAAGGAGGCCTTACTTTGGTAGTGAAAGGAAGTTCCACTGATGAATGTTTGTACAGGTGAAGAGAAGTGGTCTGTGAAGGGAGATGTTGACCTTATACTCTGTGAAACCTGGGGGTTTTGGTGTTTGAAAAATGTATTCATCCTACATTGGGAGGAGGGGAGTTGGAATCCCTGGGAGCAGCTAGCCCCTGGGAGGTATGGACCCAAGGAGGAGATTTTGAGGCAAATGTAGAGGGGAAAAAAGGTAACCAGGAGAAGGTATAAAACAGTGGTAGGGTGCATAATCAGTGATGTGGTGGAGGTATAGCCCTACTAGGGGGCAGTGGCCTCATTGACACCTGCAGTAATTGACATTGTTGAATGAATGAGGCACAATGGAAAGGGGAAATCCATGGTGCAAACTCTGCAAGGCAATGGCAGAAACCTGGAGGGGGAAGTCTAGAATGTATGAAGATGTATGATGTATGAGGAATGCAGAAAGAGACCAGGTAATTTTAAGGGTCATGAATTATGGAATGTGGGTCTAGAGTAGGCAGAAAGAGAGGATGGATAATTCAGAAAGTGAAAGAAATCCTTTTTTGGAAAGGGGTGCAAAAAATGAAATTTAAATAGCTAATGAACAGGACTAATTGAAGGGGAGAAGGGGGAATATACTTGACTGAGAGGAAAGAAAGGGGATAAGAATTATATAACCAGATAAAAGCAGGAAAGAAAAAGGAACTAACCCTAAAGGGAAGGGGGTAACAAACAAGAGGAGATGAGGGGTGAGGGGACGAGAACCTGTGTGAACAGGGCCACTTAAAAAAAGAGAGAGTAAGGTAAAGTAACTAAAGGAATATAATACTGTATTTATAGCAAAAAAGTGGA